CTCTCTGTGCATGGTTATTTATCCATGTATGCGTGTATTTTGACATGCATGGAGGAGCCTTGCGTGGCCGTAGGCATGGTAACTCAGGTTATATATATACATGTGTATATATTATATATGTGTGTGTGCGTGCTCGTGTGCCTACGCGTATGTCTGCGTGCATATTGTTAGGTTCGATATTCAACAACGTGAACAAGTGGGTTTGTTCTTCTACGGTGTCGGGTTCTTGCGAGTTGCGATTCGGTGTGGGTCGTCGTCTGAGTCGAGCCAACAGCGTGGAGGGGGTGCGGCTATGCGGGTGCCCCGGGCTGGACGTGAACGGCGACGGGCGTCCATGCAACCACATGCGAGATTTTCCTGTGCCAGTCGGTCGGGTGTCTGTACAGGAGTGCATTACGAATGCTCACTGTGCAGACCGTCAACTCGCGTACTGCATTAAAGACCACTGCGCCGGGTTTTTTGTCACTGCAGCAGCAGCCAGCCTCAACGCCTTTGCCTGCGTACGCAATCAGGAATGCACGCTGGAGAACGTTGCAGCCAGGGGGGTCGCAGAGGCCCTCAAAGTCATACCTATCGCAGCACACCTCAAATGCGGACCGGAAGCGGCACTCGACCCCAACTTCCTACCCGAATCCGCAATGCCCTGTGTAGCAGATGTAGACGGAGACGGAAAATGCGACGTGCATCTCGGCGTCAACCACTTCTTAGGGTACATACACCACACCTCCACCCGAGAACACAAACACAGATAGTTATCGCACATCTCCGTGTGCAATATTCAAATATGTCAGTCAAAATGCAAACACTGCTGCTAGGTATCTCTTCTTCTAGGTCTGTCTGCCGCTGCTGCTGCTCGTATTGCTGGCGTTCAAGATGGTAGTGGTAGTGCTGGCAGAGATGAAGGTAGTGGAGGGAGCGGTGCACTTTCATTAGATGTTTCGGGTGTACGGACAGGCGATGTGGGGGCGCTGCGGTCTATTTCGTTTGATGTTGCAGGACGCACCGGCTGTGCGGTTGCAGTGGTGGCAACTGCGACGCGCCTGAGGATTTTGGTGTTGAGTTGGGTTTGTTGAACTCGGTTGAATGCGTCGTGCACAGCGACTGCCCGATCCACGCGCTGTGCGCCAAAGGCGAGTGCGTGACTGATGAACTGCCCCCTTCGTTGCTGGCTGCCGACCCCGCCCCTCACAGCACCTCTATACCGCCTGTGAAGCAGTTGCAGCTGCAGTTCAACGAAGACATTCTCTTCGGAAGGCCCGGCGCCTCCATCATCGTCCAGTGCTTAGAACCCAGCATCAAATGGGTAATTACGCTGCCCGAAGGCGCGCAGGACCTCAGCGTCCTACGTTACACTCCTCCCCTCTTTCCCAGGGCCAGGCGAGCGCCGCCGCATCCTC